AAAAATTCATGTAAATTTAAAAAGAAATAATCTCATAATTTTGAAACGTCTCGAAAAAATAAAAAAATAAAATTACACTTATTGATTTTTTTAAACTGTTAAAATACATTACACTAAAAAGGGGAAAATTGCAAACTGCCGATGGAAATTAATATTCGAATAAAAATGAAAATATTAGTTAAAGACGAAGCTTAAATTTGATTACGTATAAATGGAATGAAAATACACAAAAGAATGTCTAAATTCTGACCCGAAACATTTAGTTTGTAAGTTCATCACAGTTGGTGGTGTGATTTTTTGATGGCATTCATCCCACGTAAAATGCGATGCCATCTGTTTTCGAAGCAAGATCAATGTTACTTTTACTTAAAATAGTTCCTATATCTAAATATCCCATTTCGAATGGAAGAGCACGAATTGACAACATATTCGTTACCGTACTTCAAAAATTATAGAATTTTTTTTATGGGAAATTATACACTGCACTAAAATTTGGATTAAACCATAAATTTTCTACGTCCTCCCCTCATTAAGACATTGTTTCGCATAACAGTGGTTATACTTGTACTTGTTTATCGAATATTTTATTCGCTTAAACATTTAGATTCTCTTAAAAAATAATTCATAAATATATATAAAGAGTTTAACGCAGACAGACACGAAAAATAGAGTAAAATATGCATTCACGCAATATATAAAAATGCTTTTTGTATATAGAAAATAAATATTTATAAGCTCATCGTTTAGGTTATGTTTGCATACTTAAGCAGAGCCAAGTCATATTTAAACATAATCCATATTAATTTATCTAATACAAAAACAAATACGTTATATGTTATACTCATAGACTGTCTCAATGATCATCCAGGGAATAAAATGATGTTTCTGACTAACTGTAGAAGAGGAGCAAAAAGATAAGATAAAAAATGAAATGTGTACAGGATAACAAAACTAACGATTGCCTAATTAAGAAAAACGACCAACTTCGTCACATGGAAAAATAAAAAATATTTACAGACCTGTATAATTTATCTAATTACGCATTAAATACTAAGATAAATATTATGAAAAGTTAATTACCTCGATTTTATTTTTATATCGACTTCGAAGCTTATTGATAAAGATTATTAAATGAGGAAAATTAATATTAGTTCTAACACTATAAGATACATCAAATTATAAGAATCGGAGGAAAGACAGATTAAATAAGAAATTGAAAGTAAGGATTAAATGCGGAGTTAATAAGAAATGGAAATTCAGTTATTAGAAAAGTGATAACTTGATGTTAAGATGATATATTATATATATATATAAATATAATAAAATGAAATA